ATAAAGTTATTTTATTATCCTAGCTAAGCTAGAAAGGTTTACAATCCAACAAGAGCACCTAAAACCATTTCAAAACAATTGTGTTCATTCAGAGTGCAGACAAGGTCTGGGCAGCTGGGATTCATCTAGCTACCTGAATTCTCACAGTGTGAAGTACCTGACCAGGACTCTTGCTTTAACCACTGCCTATGTATTGCTTTGGTACTGTAGGGTGCTTTTAAGGGTAGGTTGGAGCTTTCTGTTTTACCAGTATGTTCAGAGGAGTGAAGCAGAGTGACTCTGCTGGGGTCCATGTGCTGTCTTCCCACACAAACACACGTACTCCAAGGGCCAGTCAGGAGAAAATGTGCCAGGAAAGAAATCCAGCATGAAAGACAACAATACAACTTCACTGCTTGTTGAGAGCTGTACAAACCCAGCCAATATCAGCTAAAGAACAAAACGAGGAAAAAGAGAGGGCCAGCAAATCTTTGCAGCAGCTGCTACTTAAGGGGTTCTGCACTGCCCTTTTGCTCAGAGAGAAGCTGATTCCAGGATAAATGAACAAGAACAGTTCAAACTGGCATTACTGTATCACTATTTGCAAACACAGTGTTTAGGACATTAAAGACAGGGCTATGTCCCACACTAGTGTTCTGCCAGTGGTGGAACTCAACAGGAGCTATTCTGCCAGTCCTGCAGAGATGACTGCAGGTCTGGTAATAAGTAACTAGGGCTCATTACAGCTCACCACGATCAACAGAAGTTAATTGTAACTCATGAAGAATCACACCAGGCTTGTTTGGTTCATGCAGATGCTCACTGCCACATACAGGCAATTAGATAGCAGCCATGAGCCAGACTGTGTGTACTGTCATAACAAGCTTTAAAAATGAAAGAATAGTAAGGAACAAAGTTGTTCTTCTGAGAATTGGCTGACCCATACTTATATAAGGTACATTGACACCAAAATCTCATTTAGAAGCCACACACTGCAGCTGATGCATCCTGATTAGACTAGCCAAGGGCTTGTATAAACTCTATGAACTTTTTGGTTGAGATTGCTTTTATTCTCCCTACAATCCTGTATCACCTGAGAAGGCATCATATTCCCCCTGACTCATGGAGAGTTTTGTTCTATGTTGTAATTTGTTAGAACAGTGATTATGTGCAAGTGGGAGAATTTCACAAGCAAAATGTCTTGTCAGTGAAAATAGCAGCTTTACTCCTACATTCACTTAGCAGCAGGAGGCAGAAAGTATCCTGGGGTTTTTGAATTATTGCTGAAATGAACTCCAGATGTCTGCAGAAAGACTCCTAAATATATACCTAATTGCCAGTTTCTTTTGTCTTAGCCCCGCTGTTAAACACCCTTCAAACAACAGCATTTGATACATTCTGAATTCTTTATTAGCACCTTTATGCACAATGCAATGGCACTTGTGCAAAGGGGCAGCACCACAGCACACCAGCGCTTCGGAAGTGACGTCTCTGCAAGCCTGTCTTGAGTATTCACCTTCCTGCATGGGGGAGGTTTTCTTATAAATTACAGCCTTGCTTTTACATTACATGCACAATGATTTTATACCTCTTAGCCCTTATACTAGAAAAATTTGCATATTTATGTAATATTAATCAGGCACCAAATTTTGCTATTTTGAATTTTCAGCAAAGGAGAGCAAAACTATACTTCCTGGCCTGCTGCCACTCCAGTGAGTCATCTTTGCTGACATGCAAACTAATAGAGCTGAAGATTCAGAATTGCTGTTTCATAGAGGAAAAGGATTTGGGAGACACAAGCTCATGTATGCCATGGCTCATCCCTGCTAACTCTGACTCCCACATACATTGCCTATAGCACAGCTGAGAACAATGAAACTCCCTCTGGCTTTATCTAAGGGTAGCTATTAGGAATAGATGCACAGAATATTCTTAGTTGGAAGGACCCACAAGGATCATCGAGTCCAACTGTTAAGTAAACCCCATACAGGGATTGACATACATCAAGGTTTTGGTCTGGAAATAAAAGGGTCTTAAAAAAAATCAAAATATCATCTATACCACACGAAATTATTTGCATATTGAAATAAATAAAAGTATTTTTCATTGATTAAGGGATACACTGGTTTGGGCTTGCAAAGACTTAGTTTTCTTCGTGGTAGATAGTATAGGGCTATATTCTGGATTTGTGCTGGAAAGAGTGTTGGTAATTCCGGTATGTTTCTGTTATTGCTGAGCAGTGCTCATACAGAGTAAAAGCATCTTCTGCCCCTCACAGTGAGGAGAATGGAGATGCACAAGGAGTTAGAAGGGGACACAGCTGGGACAGCTGCCCCCAGGGATACTCCATACCATACGGAGTCATGCTCGGCATACAAACCTGGCGGAAGAAGGAGGAAGGGGATCATGTTTAGAGTGTCAGCGTTTGCATTTCCCAGGTCATCATTACACATAGAGCCCTGCTGTCCAGGAGATGGCTGAACACCTGCCAGCCCACAGGAAGTGGTGGATGAAAGCATTGTTTAGCTTTGCTTGTGTGCACAGCTCTTGCCTTAACCTATTGAACTGTGTTTATCTCAGCTCATGAGTTCTCTCACTTCTACCCTCCTGATTCTCTCCCCCATCTCACTGGTGGGAAGTGAGAGAGCAGCTTTGTGGGGCTTTGTTGGCAGCTGGGGTTAAACCATGACAAGGCAGAGGGATCACCAGGGTAACCACTCTGGTTGTGACAGGGAGTACACAGCACACTGTCAGCTGCTGCATTCCTCAGTCTCCTGCACACTCTCCCTTCATGTATTTCTACATTGCCAATACTCATTTTGAGCTTTCTCTTTTCTGTGCTAAACCATTCTGCCCGTCCCAGTCTTTCCTCATGTGAGAGGTGCTCCAGTCCCCTAATCAATCTCAGTGACTGCTTGCTGGACTGTCTCCAGCAGCTTTGTGCCTCTCTGACACCGGGGAGGCCAGAACTGGACAGAGTGCTCTACATGTGGCCTCAGCAGGGCTGGTAGAAAGGAAGGGTCACCTGTCTCAGCCTGCTGCCCACACCCCTCCTAAGGCAGCCCAGGGTTCCACCAGCCTTTGTTGCCACAGGGGCACAGAGCTGGCTCATGTTCACCCCAGTGTCCACTGGAACCCCCAGTTCCTCTGGTGCAAGGCTGCTTTCCTGGTGGTCAGCCCCCAGAAAATACTGGTGCAGGGCCCTGCACTGCTTTTGCTGAACTCCCGAGTCTCCTGTTTGCTGTATCTCCAGCCTGTTGAGGTTCCTTCCCTTTGGATGGCAGCACAGCCCTGTGGTGTATCAGCCATTCCTCACAGGTGGGAACATGAGCAAACTTGCTGAGGGTGCATTCTGCCCAATAATCCAGTAATTATGTAATTACAAGCCAGTAATTTCATCATAGAAGGTTATCAGGTTGGCCAAGTATGATTTCCCCTTTGCAAACCCATCCAGTCCTCATCTGACTGAGCCTTCCCTTAAGCACAGTCATATATTGCAGTCTCCAGGGGCAGAAATGCACTGGTGAAATTGGGTCCTCCCTCCATTTCTCAATATAAAACAGAAAGCGAGGGTCAAGTGAAATCCTATGAGCAGGAATGCACCATGTTTCCTATCTGAGATCATAGAAGTAGAAAAACCAACTTACTTCATTTACAGAAATTCAGTGAATGGCCCAGTAGGCTTCAAGGAAGGACTGAGCAAGGGAAGTAAAACTATTTAAGAAAGAAAAAAATGCTCCTTGAAGAAAATAAGTTTTTCTAAACATGCAGTTTGTGTGACTAGCCATTTCCATGTTTTGTCATATTTGTTCATCAACTCACAACACATAGGAACCAGGCATTATGGCAATATCTTTAGTCATCGAATGCTAAATGAGACTTCTACCCTGTAGGGTTAAGCAGAGCTGATGACAAGTTCCCTAAGGGCATCTTGGTCTTACCCTGTTTGCATTAACAAAACCTCAAAGAGATGTCATTAGTGAGGTTTGGAAAGGAAACTGTAGCAGGGAGGTTGACATTGGCATCAGTAAATCCTCTGCATATCTGAATAAGGAGCTCAGTGGTAATCTAAATAAACTCTACAAAGGGTATAACTTCTGTCATTCTTGCTGCTTCCCAAAAACAAAACTATCATTGTTATCTTGTGGTGCAATGAAAGACCTCTCTTACTTTCCTATAAATACAGATATCTCTGCTAGTTCTGTTTATAAGAAAGAAAAGATTGAGAATAGTAAAGAGCCAAGGCCAACACCTTCTCTCAGTCCTCCTCATATATAGTGCACAGGTTGCAGAAAAACTTCAATGCACTTTTACAATGAAGTACATCCATGTGTTTCCTAATTAGCCATCCGCTCTCTGGATGCAGAAGATCCTTGCTAAAGAACCAAACATTTATGCCAAGTCTGTGTGCTTACAAGAGTGCAAGCACATGCAAGCAGCTGACTGTCTGGGAAGATGTGAAATTACAGTAAAAACTGTGAAACTGCCTTCCAGACTTAAGTGTTACACAGCTGCCCCAGGAACCCTAGTTCAAAGGAGAGGTGGAAAAGGAGCAGCATGCAGTATTGCAATCTGCATGGCAATAACATCCTTATAGCAGGTCAGACTACTTATTCCACTGTGTTTTTCTTTAAGCTCAAAGCGTTCATGAAGGATGCACTGAAAGCTACTGAGAATATTCTAGCTTCAAGCTTAGCTGCTGATTGACTTTTTTGGTGACTAATATTTCATTTTCATCTCCTTTCTTGCCAATACAGCCAGCCACCTGCTAGACTTAAGCTATGCTGCCTCCAACCCACTTATAGCTTAAAACCAGCAGAAGGCCCAGATGTTTCTCATCTAGCACACATACACACAATGGCACTCTAGCAAATAGGCTATTTCAGCACCTGGTTATGTCTGAAACTCTCCCTGGTGCTTTGGGAAACAGAGTAACAGCAAAGAATGGTGTTCAATTATAACACAGTTATTTCCAAGCTTCTTGGTGCCTAGAGCTTGAGGAAAACAATGTCCTTACTCACCATAAGGGATATATGCCAAGCCTACTGACAATGAAGACAACAGCAAATGTAAGGAACAGAAGGTCACTCAGTTTTTGACACTTGCAATAGTTTGCCATTTTGGCAGCCTGCAAAAGAAAAAGATGTCTTTTTACTTCCATGAGGACAACTGAATTCTCTTGTACAGAGTATAAGCTGTAAGAAAATGAAGAAATAAAATTTTAATGAAATTGCTAACATTTTCACTGGGCCACCTCTTAGTGATCTTGGAACTCCTCTCCACCAAGCAGCTGGAAAATATCTTCTTTGGAAAAAACCCAAACCACACTACATAAAACTATTCTAAGTATTTAATTTCTTTATTTCCTTTATTTTAATTTCATTTTTGAGATTTTACAATTTCAGATCTGCAAAACTCTTCTAAGCCTTTTATGAGGGTTATTGGGAATCCCAGTATGTTTATGGTGTCTTTGTCCCCATCCTCTTTACCAACTTATCTTTCACCTTTCCAGTATGCTCCACTGGCATTTTCAGCATCCATCTTCCATGTGTCCCAAGCTCTCTGACCTTCTAGTAGCTACTATATATAAATTTTGTCTCAATTCCTCTAGCATATCTACTACAATTTTTCTGAAGCATCTCTTCTTCCTTTTCTGACTATACTGAGTACTTTCCACCTCAAAGATTATACTGCTTTCCTTCAAGTATTTTTCCGAGTCTTTCTTTTCATCCTCTGCTTTCTAACTTGTTGCCTTATGCTTATATTTACATGCTTTTCTCACTTGTCTTCAAGCAATCTTCTGACTCCTTCCCAGTGAAGGACTCACTAATTCATTACTCTTCTCTGAAACTGTTAATTAAAACACTGATCTCCCCAGAGGTTTCTTTACCCTTTTCTCCCTGAAGAAAATGGTATATAGGGAAGGAAGCTTGTTTTAAGATGACTGTACTGCTTCCACAGTGTTAATGTGTGCAAGCAGTTAATTATTTTAAAATAACATCTGCTTTGAGATAGGGACAGTCTTCCTTCATGTTTTCTGTCAAATGTATCGAGAGAGTCCACTTAAGCCACTGGGAACCCTTTCAAAGCTCCTTTCTGAGGGGACCTTCATCCAGCTCCCAGGATCCCAGAAGATACTTGTGCAGGCCTTCCAGAGTATGAAGAAGGAGCAAAATTACTATAACTATGCCTACAGAATACAATTCTGAATGCAGAATTCAAACCAGAGAAACAGATAATTTGGATGCCAAAACCAAACTTGCACTTTTGGTTGTTATCCAATTTCTGCAATGTTCCCACTAAAAACCTGAACATGAAGATTATTTCTCACTAAATAAACCAAGTTAGGAAGCTCACAGAACATGAGGAAAGCCACCACTGCTGTGAAGAAAACATAACCTTTCTGAATCAGCCCTATTTTCTAGAGGACACACACAAATTTCCTAGCAGTTCATACTCACAGCCTAGTTTTAAGGAAAAGAGAACACTTTGGTGCCAACATACAAAGCAGAAGCATTGCTAACTTCCTTGCTTTTCAGATGATGGAAAATTCAGTACAGGAATTCTGGATATATTTCCATGGTGGCAGTGTAAAAAACTGGTTTCATAGTGCATGAGACTGATATTACTATAGCAACTTGTAGTAGTAGCATGCCATTTCTCAAAAACAGTACAGCTATTGGAACATTGGTTCTCAAAAAACAAATTACAGTAACTCTACAACTTATAGTGATAAAGAAAGACTACAAAGGGAATTAATATGTTGTTGTAGGATGGAATTTGGCCACCTAAGACAATAGAATACAATTTTCTGAGTTTAAAAACCATGAATACAACTGAGGAACACAGAATTACAATTTCTTGATAATCCTACTATGGTTCTTCCATACTTCCAGATACCTTAAGACCCGTGGAAAAAATCTCACCTCCAGTATTCCCACCAATGCATTTTTTGCAATGAGAATAACAGAAAATGGTGCTTTCCAGTGGACGTATTTCATTGTGAAATGGTAGATGGAAAGAGTCTAGTGGCCACCAGAAGTAGCTTTTCATTTCTACAAATATCTACTAGGCAACACAGGTCAGGTGCACAACTGACCCATCACGGGAAGATATTTAACCAACTTCTTTAGCAGTTTGATAGGTTTTTCCTCTGCAGGACCTTCCCCTCGGTAATGTCAGCAGTATGCAAGAGTCCATGTTCTTTCATATGGCACCTATGTTGTGACACACTGCCCTAGCAGAATTTCCAGTCAAACTGGACTGAAAGAACTGACTAGAAAGACCACTTAAGTATGTGCCTCATGAGGAAGCACATCTGATCAATGTTTGCAACTCCACTGAGAATACCAGCAATTCCTCTTTGTCTTAGTGAATGAACAGAGAGTAAAGTTTTAGTTGGCCTAGTACAGCTTCTCTCTAGTGTTTTTATAGTTCCACAGACACTGGTCTGATATAGAATAAACATCTTTAAGTACTTCTTTCTGGTGATGAGAAAAGAGGAATGAAGAAAGTTTAGGTGAAGTCACAGCTAGTTATATACATGGCTAAAAGAGAAAAATAGACTTGCAAAGATGTGATTATTTTTATCACAAAAAATCCACATTCTCTTTTGCTTTCTATCTCAGGCAGTTATGTGCCTTCTAAAACAAAAAAGATTAAAATATAAAAACATATTTACAGCACTACTGAATCAGAATGGCAGATTTTGATTTTGCAATAGATGACTCATGCAGTAAGCCTATATTCTTGCATAACAGGTATCTTTGTAGGTACTTGAATAAAAATTAATTGCAGACAAAATAGTTATTAAGTTTGGAGGAGAGTTCAGAGACAGCCAAATTCCAGCATGACCCAGAGCTGTCTAGTAACTGATAAAGGATGACAACATCTCTAAGCCGTCACTATGGAAGTTACAGATCCTCTTGACGTAAAAGAATTTCAATCATCCCTTCTTCTCTAAATACAACTGCTGGTACTGGGATCCAGAGGCATGGGAACCTGAAAAGTCAGAGGTCAGCTCACTGGCCATGCCCAAATAAGCCAGTAAATTGTCCAACGCCCTCTGCCCAGCAAAGCAGAGCAGAAACACCTGTGACACCTTCATTCTTTCAGAGACAGAGTAATTTCTCCACATATCACGTCACAGGAGTTAAGAACCAGGTGACCCACTTTCCCCACTTTCCAGATTTTGCAGCTTTAGCTTTTGATTTTCCCATGCTGTATTTAGAATCTGCATGTAACCCTCACAGGCATGCAATGCATTACCTGTCTCTGCTCTGTACAAGCAACATATCAAAGAATAAACCAGTCTGAAATCAGAAATATGTGCTGCTACATGTGCAAGATGTTTAAGCAAGGAATACACTATATTAACCACTATTACCATCTTAAACTGGCTTAGGAACCACTTGTTCTGCATAGGAAAAAGATTCTACCTACTGGCAGGATGACATACGAATGATCTCACCTCTAGGACAATATCAGCCGCATCGTGGAGACATAAGATCAAGGTTCCCACTCGTGTCAAATTGGTTACATATGAGAAGGTAATCAGGGTGACTGTTACAATGTGATGTGTAAACATGATTCCAAAGTCCTAGAGAAGCAGAAGCAAGGAAAAGATACAAAAACCAAAAATCCAATGAAGCAAACACTGATATTCTGTACTCACATACAAAAATGGATGGTTGTTTCTTAAATCTAGCATTATATGTAAGTTATAAAAATATCTACTATATAAGTGTATTATACACACTGCTCTATATTTCATTTAGACTGAATAAAATAATCATTGTATGTTAACCAAATGTGAAAACATTATTGAAAGCTAGGCAATGACCACAATTCTCAGTTCATAGTAATTGAACCTAATAAAATAAACATTTGCAGTTGAAGTTACTTTGAAAAGGCATATGTACATGCAAATCAAATTCCACTGTACTTTTTATGCACAAAGTAACATATGATTATAACAATATGCATAACCAAGTTCCAAATAATGCACCATTCAGAAGAGAGAAAACAGCTACAAAGGAGGGCACTAATGCATTAGGACAGCAGACACCTGCCAAGAACAACTGGGAGAATCCCAGATCCAGGCTTTTATTTGTTTGTTTTTAATCAAGGTTCTTCGTCTTCACACTGTAACAGGGTTAGGAAAGTCATCAAATGAGCTGGAGCATCTCCTCCTAATTGGTTCTAATCCACTGCCTCCCAAATGATGTAGGCTAGCTGGTCTCCACACCAGTAACTAACTCTCAGTTATTTGCCCATAAAGGAACTGTTACTATTGAAAAATCTGGGAGTGGAGGCACTCCCAGAAGTAACATCACATTTCAGATACTTGTCACGGGGCAGATAAAGCAGAGGGAACAACCTGCCTACCTGGACTAGGCTCCCAGACTAATTTATGAGAGAACAGGACCCGCAGAAATGAGACTCTTCTCAGCAAGGCACCAAGTCAGACTAAAGTAAGTCTTGTTGGCATTTTGCCGAACTACCTGCACAGCTTTGAGAAAGGATATTAAAACCCTTAAGAAAAGATCACTGGCAACATTTAACTGGGAAGTTTCTCTATGCACCATATGTAAAACCTGTAGCACAGCTCCCAGCAGATCTCATGCAGAGATCTCTGAGAGTGGCTCTCATGCAGAGCTGACAGAAAGGAGAGAGATCCAGGCAGACAAAAGGAGCAGTTCCTTCAGGCAGCCTGCTCACCAAGTGTATTGGGAGGTGGAACTTGGCTTTCTCATAGCTTTTGTGGGCCAGTCCTGCTGAGTTGTGGTAGTCTTTAGCTAAGTGGCCCACAACAGAGAAAACCAAAACTGTGCCTTCAGAGGGGCAGCACCTGGTTTGCAAAGGAACTGAAGGTACCTGTGAGGGCCCTATGGAAAGTGCCACGAGCTGCAGTTAACACAGGGGCAGCTCCGGAAAAGCAGCAGCTGCAGCCCCTGACTGCACTGTCTCTTCAGTACTGAGAAGCACACCTGCAATGTTCCCAGCTCTCCTTGGGAATGCAGTAGGCACCACTGGTTTTAAGGACGTGCAGTGCCACTGCCGCTCAGTACCAGCACGTGCCTTCCCTGCCAGTCCATGGAAACACCTGCAGCTTGAGCAGCCTCACTAACTGAAGAGGGACAGGACCTGCTCCCAGCCTATCACTCATGTTTAATGCTATCAGGGGCTACAAGATCCTATTTCCTACTCCTCAGTAGGCACCGCCAGTACCTCCAACACAAAACTGAGGAAGGGTAGGAGGGCAGGGAAGGGGAGAAAAGATAAAAAGATTAAAAACAGAGACTCATATGTCAGCTTAGTATATACCAAACAATTCCCAGCCAGGTTATCTGGCCCCCAGAATCATGGAACACAATAAAATACATTCAGCAATCATATTAAGCCATTGCTTTAAATCCATTTTCTTCAAGCAGACAGAAGAAAAAGACAATTAAAGGCTGTTTCCTTTTCTGAGTGTCATAACAGAAAACAAGGGTATGGCATCTCAGTCATTTCAGGAACTACAAACACACATATGAAGACCATTTCACCACTTCACAATAATAAAACCAGCAAAGCACCTACCTTAATCCATGGGATTAGAAGTAAACTACTATTATTGCCCTATGGCCATACTGCAGCCTAGCTCTTTACCTCCTTCACCTGCAGGTACTATGGCACTGTTCTTAATTTTCCTTCCAAATGCAATTATGTTAGCACATAGGCAGTCCTAATGGGGCAAAAAGTCAAGTAGAAGATCTCCTCTATTTTCACAGCTGACACTTTCATGTTCTACAAATACTAGATTTCTAGTCCCCCTTGGATATTCTTGAAGGCATTCCTGACAATATGGATTATTCCTAAGAAATCCTAATGTTCTTGGGCAGCAGTGTTCTACATTTTTGCATGAGTCTTCTTAAAGAAATGCTGTCTGGGGAACTCCTTCTGTAATAGTGTTTCTTTAAAAAGACAGTCACTTGACTCCACCATCTCTGAAACTGAAGTGCTGACTGACCTATGGAAAACTGTGGGGAAAAAAGTAGCAATGATAGAAATAAGACTGTTTTGTTTTTGGGGTTGTTTCCTCTCTGTGACTTTTTTTAAGTCATTGATTAATGCTATGCTCTGAAGAAGCCACCTGTTAGATTTTAGTTATACACAAGGGTATTGAACATCTAGATACCAAGTGGTACCTGTGTCCCAGCTTACTCCAGCACTTTCACCCATATACAGTGGAAAAGCAGCTGTACAGGAACGGGCTTCTTAATTTTGGGTTTTTTTTAGTTAATGTATTTCAAATCATATATATGTTTGTGAAAGATGTTTTTATTTACAGAAGATTCATAGCCACCAGTTGTAACTGCTAGAAGATGTCATGTGCCTACGTTAAGAAAATCTGTGGCTAAGAATAGCAGAAAGAACATATTCGAGACACCATCAGTGGGAAGAACATAGGGCAGACAGCAGAGAAACCCCATGGGTCACAACTTGTAGACAAGCCCTCTGGAATTAAGGCTTCTGCCACCCACATTTGTTTAACATGTCACAGTCATTGACTGAACTGCCAAGTGGCCATGGAGCATTAGTGCCACTGAAGGGCAAAATATCATCTTTGTGGCTTATATTACAGATCAACAAGGAAATGGAAAGGCCTGCAAAACATATGCAGCCTAAACTGCTTCCACTGAAACAAAAGACATAAATTCTGTGCATCTTTCTTTATCAAGAAAAGTCTCTTTGAAGAAAGAAATCTAGTATCCAAATTTGGCAAAATATAATGTAAATTTTCTAGAATCAAAATTCAGTATTCAAGAAAATTAGCAGCTACAGATCACTTTATTCTTGGAATGGCTGAACTGTCATTAAAAAAAAAGTAAAACACAAGCTCTAGGAATTGCCAAATGCTTGGAAATAAAAGGTGTGAATACACAGAAAGGTCTCCTAGACCTTCTACAAACATGTTAAAACTCAGAGTAGAAATTTTATACATTTCTTTAAATGTACCTGTCAAATATTTTTCCATTAACCAATACATCAGGTATCCAGAAAGCTTGTAAATAAGGCTCACTGCTTTTAAGGGTCATCAGGTGCTTTTGAAACTAACAAACTTCCATAATTTTTTTTTCAGTGTTTTACAAAACAGGAGCATGGGAAGCTGGGAAAAGATGATAAAACACCAATTCATACTTAGTTTCAGTCCTTGAAAATTAACACCCTTAAGGGAGAATATCATAACAGCAACACAGTGGATATTTATGAAGCTAAAAGCATGCCATTATAAAACTGTAGAAATTGATACACACAGTTCACTGACTTAATGCCAATAGTAGGTTTGTGCAACAGCCTAGTTTGCTTACACCTCCAGTCAGGTAAAGACAATCTGGTGGAATTTGTAACACCTAAATAAAGTAATAAAGATAAACAAGTATTTGAAAGTAGAAAAAAAAAAAAAAAACCAAGAAAAAACCAACCAAAAACCTGGAAGTAATTTTTGAAGTCATCCGTTTGCTATCAGAGAAGAATAAAATGGAGATGGAGTAAGTCCATTTCTCTTGATTTACATTAAATAAAATACCAGTTCTGGAGTTAGGCCAGTGCTGAGAGTTGCTGCTTCCAGCAAGGACACACTGCACCTCTCCTTCAGACTAACCCAACTACATGAAAAAAAGCGCTTGGCTGAATTCCTGCAGTGCACAAGACTGCCTGGGCACTTCTGACCATCCCAGAATATAACACAGCCACTGATGCTGAATTTAAAGTATCTAAAATGATAACCAGGATTTAGATAAAAATATTCCTTTACCTGTAACATGAAAAGATCAATAGCTTACTCAGGTTGAGAACTGTTAATCTGCTCTATACAAGCCACTTGTGAAATATTACAATAGCATCCAATATTAGCTGGCAAATTTCCTGCTTCCTGTTTAACAGATCTCTATTTCATATGGGCACCATTCCACACATTGCATATGGGGTGCATTACAAGGCTTCCACATTTTTTAAACTAAGCCTTCTTTTAAAAGAGAACTACTATGATGCAAGAACTGGTGTCTCTGTGAAGCTTGTACTCCTTTTTGCCAACTATTGTAAGTCTTTAGTACTAACACTTTTCAGCTCAATAGGCTTCCTTGGCAGCTTGCACTCCAAACACTTTTACTGTGTGACACCAGGGCACAGCTGCATTTCTCCAGTCTGATCTTCCTCATTATCAATTTTGCTTACACTACACAAAGAGCTGTCTCCACAGTCCAAACTGGTGAGTGATTTAATAGGTCATTTATAAATATGGCATCTCCACTGCTCCCTGCTGGGGGCTGATAATGAAAGGCTTTTGACTTGCTATCATTGCACTGCAGATGTTGTGCTCCTGCTCTCTGCTGGACATTGCACATTCTCAGACACAGCAGGTGCTTTGGACACTACTTGGATCTGGTGCTCTGGGTTCAAGAGCTGCGGCTGGGGTGTCAAATAGGCTGCTAGCAATTCTCTTCCCTACCTTCATGTCTCATCCCATTTCCACAGCACATTGCCCTAAGGTTTTTCTAATAACAAGTACAAGTAATTTATATATAACTAAGAAACAGACTTGGCCCCTGCGGCGTAACATATTAGTCAATATTACTCTTGATTTAAATTCATTTCCACTATCATACAGCTCCCTTAAGCATTGCTTCTCTCTATGTCAGTTTGTGAAACAGGGAAGTCATACTCATTTCAAGCTCATGATTAACAGAATGTTTAGCATCTACAGACAATGCAAGGAAGGGATTTATATGTATTCATCACAAATTGGTTGTTTTATTTTTAATTTATACTCCAATACGGATTAAAATTTTTGTGAATGCTTTCTTGAGATTTCTACTTCTAGAATAATCTGGAAATCCAAACAGAGAAGTGTGTTTCTATACAGGCAGCTCTGCCATAGGAATCCCAGGGATACACTGTACTTCTAAATGACAGCAAGTTTATTCAGGTCATAATGCATCCTTCATTTACTCTTTTCAGAGTTATGCTCCTGCTAGAATTCTAATAAACAGGAATTTTTCCATTAGCATAGCCAACAATCATTGATTTAAATGACAGCAGAAGGCAGCACATAAAGATATTATAAAATCCTTTCAAAAGCTGAACAAAATTAATTTTGAAACATTTAAACCCCTTCAAGAATACCTTCAATGGACTGTTATTGCAGAGTAACTGTTGTGCTGCTTGTTCTGCTATGGACTAGGAGTCTCCTAGGAGGAGAGAACTTGGCATATGGAACAGATTGCAACTAGTTCTGGAAAAAATATTTCTATTTGGACAGTCTTGTTTTTTTTTTATTAACAACTCTCTAACAGCAATGTTCAGCTACATGACTGAAAGGGTAAAAATTAAATATGACATCACTTTTTAATATTAAATGTTTTTGGTGTTCTTCTGCAGAAAAATCTGAAAGCCCTCATAGATCTTATCTCATAAAGTGACACTGAATTTAGGAGGCAGTCTTGCCCTTTTCTTGGTATTTCATTGTTTAACTCTTAGAAGAAACAGTACATCTACCAGATACTACCTGTCCAATTCCATTCAAGTCCATGCATGAAAGCAAGAGGTTCTTTTGGCTTCTGCTATTTGCCCTTCAATGTTTTCTCCAGGCTCTTCTTTCCATGTGCAGCAAAAACCTCATATTATAGCAACAATGAACAGACTAAGACAATCACAGTTTCTCAGTGATGAATATCTGCAGGAGTTGAACACTAAAAAGAACTGTATTTCCAGTTCATTGCATATGTAATACAGCTATTACTCAAGTAAAGCTTTCAGTGCTTTTAGTCTCATTGTTCTTACCTTTCTTTTGACGTCAATGAATTGAGAAAACATTAAGGACCAGTAGAATGACAATTCAACTATGTAGTAGTAATGAAGGTCGGGCATCAGGGGCTGAAAGAAATGAGAAAAGGTTAATAGAGTCTAACTGACAGTACAGGCAGCTGTGGTCCATAGGAGGCATGTTTAATCCTAGGGGGTCATTGAATTATACATATGCATCCTATGTGAAAAAAATGATGATAATTGCCTCTTTCAAACTTTGATGGCTCTGGAAAAATAAAGCTCCCCACCATACTCTCTTCTAATGTTTTAGCCCTGACAATACTGTAATACCAAAAATTATTATGCTGTCCATTTGGAATCCAGAGCAAACTAAATTCTAAGTATTCCTTAGTTTCTTTTGAAAGTTTACTTGAAACATCTTGCTGTATATCAGTAATGAGGGTTTAAAACATAACAAAAAAACAATGCTAGAGTAAACTAGAAAAAAAAGTAATGCTAGTGTATAATCTCATCTGCTCATGATGAAAATGTGGGCTTTGAGCAGGGCTCTTTATAATAGAAATGCCTACTATTTTAAGAATTTAACTATTTTCTGGGGACATATTAACACTTGGAAAGGAGAAAATAAAATAAGTGTATCCAAGTATCTTGTCTGATATACAACGTGGTTACAGAGTTGTTTCAAAGTGAACGAAATTAAAAAAAAAAATCCAAAACCAAAACCAACCTGGAGTAACTTCAAAGAAGGTAACTGGTGGCACACATAAACACTCTGACCCTCAGCCTAAGAGATCCAATCCTCTTATTCACACTTTCCAGTCAGGCTTTTCCCCCCTTTCCTGCTCTTAGGGAAGAACAAAAAATATATATATACCCTAGACATAGATATAGATAGGTATAGATATAGATATCTCTCTCTCTCTCTCTATATATATATATATATATCTAATCTATCTATCTATATATATATATACATATATACACCCTAGGTTAAATTCCTTCAACTGCGAACTCTTCTCTGGAGCTTTTGGAATTTAATGTGTGGAGTTCAGGTGTGACAGCTATGTTCATCTTTCCTATCTTGAACTCAATCAAGATGGGAAGAATCTAGCAATGTTCTGAAATGCTGAGTAGCCCATTCACAGAAACATACTGGCACAAAGCTCCACCATAACAAAAACAGAGCTCTGCAAAAGCATCATGCTTGTTTTTAGACAGCACTGTAACTTTTACCTGATATGGATACCCGCTCCAGCACTGCCTGGTATTCCAGAGCCAGGGTGTCTGAAAGAAAGAAAAAGCAAACCAAAAGTCACTACAGACCACTTTGTGCTATGTTAAGTGTATGTATTTAATACTAACAAAGGACTAAAAATATAAGAACAGCTTAGAATTTGCATTTTTTGATAGCAGCTATGAAAACCAAATAGAACAATGAGATTTCTCAGAGTTTCACAGCATGAATTACAGCAACTTTCCTGTTTTTGTTGGTACCCAATGACCTCACTTTTGCAAGACTGTAGACTGAAAGTAAGCAGCTCGTGCTTGGATGGTCAGATCTCACACTATATTCTCAACAGAACAGGAAATTTTGACTTCAGGCAACTTAAATATTTCAAAGACGATTCCTTGCACATGCCATTATATATAGGCATTCCTCCATATAGGATACATCCTTCATCTTTACATAGCCTTATCTACTCTACATTCGAGTATAAAGGGGACAGAACATCATTAGTCAGTCTCCTGGATTAAGGCAGCATATAGCACACACAGCATTAAATGCTTTCCCTAGACCACAGTTTTTCAAATAAATCCTCACTGCCTGAGAGAAGGCATGTTCTTGTTTTCACCATCAGGTGGAGTAGCTCAGCTCAGGCAAACCGTAAAATCAAACTCATCCAAAATACAATGGGTGAGCACCAAAGCAACAAAACGGATACTAAGCAGAATGTTAAAGCCCCAGGCTGAGAATCAGGCTAGGTAGGAAGGATTTTTTAATATGCCCTTTAATAAAAAAGAAGATAAAATAACATTTTCACACCAATACCCCCAATGACAAAGAATAGTTCTTTCAATAGCCTGGAAAGTATATCAACATTTGAAGTAACACACCTCATAGAGTTTCTGATTTGCCTCTCTCAAGGATGCTGTAAGAATGCTTAAGTCCATCCAAACTTACCCTTCCCTCCATTAGAAATAACTTATTCATGGAACCAATTAATTGGTTCGAATGTCTCCACAGTATTTACTATGCTATACAAATTCCCCTCATTTCATGCAAGAAAAAAAAATCTTTGGAAACAGCCACAGCATCCCTGCAAGACAATATAAAGAATCTAGCATATTTCTGTCTGACAGCTGCCTGAATTAGATCCACACAAATATTCTAGGATAATTCATAGTTTTAGCCAGGTTTGAAAAGCTGTAACTGTCTTTCATATCATATTCAACAAAAGATATGAGATGCTTCCTACCCAATTATTTTGCTGCCTAAATTACAGGTCCTAGCAAAAAACCGCATATTTTTATCTTTCAAATATTATGACATCTTAAGGCTTCTTCATAGAGATGCTTGCTGCAGGAGCTACGGATACAGAGGTTTATGAGCAATTAAAATGCCGATTGCTAAATAAAATAAGCCTTTCTTGATGAACCTATAACCACAAAGCCCTACAGGGTATCACAACTGACAAATAATGTAATGTATGCATTAAGCCTCAAAGACCAATACAGCAGAATATACGCCCCTTCTGGGCCACATAAGATTCAGAAAGCCATGCTGCCATCTCAGACAAAATGCTCCTGAGTAGCTGTTTCAAAACCTAATGGATCCTTTGTGGGCAAGAGCATTTAAAATAGCAGGGCTCCTGCAGCACCTTCTTACCTCCCCAGTCTCCCTTCCCCTTGACTTGCCTTGGCATCTCTGAGTTCCTCTTAACAGCTTTAGCAGCAGGGCACTTTGGTTATGCTTCCCTGGAGGGTTTTAGGGAAGAAGTAGAGGAAGAGCTTGGTTTAAGCACAAGCTTCTTCTCTGACCTCCACAATGAGCACAGCCCTAGACTGTACTCAACATCTAAATGTAAACCACGGTTACAGTTAGACCAAGAAGTGTCTTATTTAGTCCTCTGTAAACCTCACAACTATGGAATACTTTGTAGAGGCTTCAGTAGGAAGCTTCAATCTACAAAAAGCTCACACAGTCTGCAGTGAGACCAAGACCCATTAGCGAAAGGTGGATTAATCATAAAGGACCTAAACTTTTTGAGTCAGCTTTTCAAAGTTTCTATCATCTTCCACTAAGTCTGCCTTGTGATGTCTTAGAAACTCTCTGATTTCCTAAAGATGTGTGTTTTTTCCTACTATCCTCTGAAAAACTGCCCTGAATATAGCAACATCCCTTGCTACTGTTGTATTTGTTTTGCTACTACATAAGAATTTCTCAAACTAAAGTTTCACTGATTTAAAACACACATCAGACAGTTTCCAGTCTCCACTGGCCATGAACAACAGGCTCTGAGGGCACCATCTTATCAGCCAACAATGCCAAGAGCACAGGCTGAACTGTGCAATAAACTGACACCCTGCAAGCACCACTGTAAGTCACCTACACAGCAAAATTAGGTATGCTTCCCTCTATCCACAAAATCACCGACTTCTGACAAAACACCATGCTGGGAACAAAGAGAACTCAGCAAAACAACAAAATCCATGGCTGCTATTTTGCATCAATTTGTGCAAATTCTTCCTTCCAGTGACTGTTAATTTGGTTTAGGATGCAGTTGCTTCTCACACCAGGAACAGAATTTTCATAAATCCTTCACAGATCCAAGCAGTTGTTGGTATTTCTTGGCGTAGCTAACTACAGGAGTGAAGACAATATGACACATTGTCAATGAACCTCCTGAAGGGTTTTTTCATATACTGTGACTAAGCAAGCTGTTCTGTTTCTGCAGAACAGGGATTTTTTTTCCCTCTAGAGTTTAGTGCTTTGTGTCTGTAGAAAAAAAGGTTTTAGGGGAAAAAATGCTTCTACAATGAAGAGTGCTCAGTGTTTCCTTTCAGCAATCTGCACTGTTGACTTCCAAACATAATTAAAAATTATACTTCTGCTAATGGGAAACCGTAAAATATGGAAGAACTTATAAAGGCCAAGATTAATAATAATCACTGGAAATGCACTTGACATTCAAATGCAAATATACGTGTGTTCAAAAAAAGGTTTTAAAAAAAATATGAATTCAAGTTTTGATGTATTATACAAATTTATATTTGGAAAGGCAGAGTAAGCTCCACACACACATCTACTTTTCTCTTTAAAAATATTATGTACAGAGATCTGGAGCATATGTCTTTTGTTGATAAAAGTTTACTTTCAACTTACAGCTTATGAGGAAATGAAGCTGGCAAAAGGAATTGATAATTAGAATCTGAAAGGGTCCTAATATTAAAGTAATGTGCTGAACAGAACTGAAGAACACTCCAGACAGAGAAACTGGTGACTGTAGCACCTCCTCCCCCTCCTCTCCCCGACAGCCACCAGTCCCCTTACCAAGCCCAGCCATCAAAATATTTGATCTCGTTTGTGTACCTTCTTCTTCTGATGCTTGCTCTGTTGGTTGCTTTGTAGTAAACAAAACTTCGAAAAACTTTTGCCTTCATGTGTCATGGCAACATTTTCAAGGACTGTCTGGTCATGAGCAAGCTGAGTGGCCAGTGGTGCTATGACAATTAAGAGCAGCTGGATGTCTACATAAATATTCCAGGAGCTAAGCTAAAGTTCCCAGAAACACTATTGAATGTATTTGGTAGCTCCTCAATCTACATTGTAAGAACTGTGCATAGAAAATAGCAGACACAGTCGCCCGAGCGTTCCAGATGCCTGATAACCCTTGGATGAAGCAAAGCAGCTGTACATTAGATTTACAGCTGCCTTCTATTTTTGGTCACAATGCCAGACCATATCAATTAGCCTAGCATTTGCATCTAAGAGGATATTAATGAATTTACTTTATTTAAAAAGACAACACATAACTGCATGCCCGCAATTAAGTTTTTTAAGAGAGAACATTGAAGTTTACACTTGGAAAACCTTACCTTGGTAGGAGGGAGACCTGCATAAAATTAAACCTTTACGAGAACAGGAAACATCCCAAGAGCAAATCATTAAAAAAATTAAATAGGGCACTTCAACCCTTATTGATCATTGCAGAGTAGCATGATTTCAGACTACTCCTGATTTTCCTACAGCATGCAGCTTCAACAAAGCTCCAGGGTTTCCAGTGCTCTGATACTATGGTTACTCAATGGCATACAGGAAGGTGGTTAATAATTAAACTCATCATTACATATCTACTTGCTGTAATTATGTTCCTATTTGTAGCTGCTCTGCCAGAAGAGTGCATGTATCTGATTCTGCCAGCCACTGCCTTTCAATACCATGTGTTGATGGCAAGTGTTTACCAGATTCATTGTATTCCTGATACTGAGTTTTGGAAATCCTCAGGCAGCTGCTTTCCTTTGCAAGATTCACCATGGCTTGCTTCACTGACATGTAACGTTCTACCACTGCATGCAATCCATGAAGGGAGACAGAATCGAATTTTAATAATAAGAACTCCATACCAAGGTAAACATAAAATAAAATTTCATGCCTAAACCCAGATGTTTAAGCTGGTGGTATTTATGAACCTACACTTCCGACTGGAACAACACTGTATAGAGAAAAGCCAAACAAAAGCCCTAACTGATGTGTTTTGCTGTACTTTGATACAGGCACATTGTAGCAAGGTCTCAGGATCATCCCTGACAGTCTGAAAGTTAGGAAGTTACTGCAACTGCAGAATTTTTAATAGGAAATACAGGTTTTCTCTAGTTCACAGGGCCTTGGAGAGACAAGAATGTATTTGGCTCACATAGTGCCATTATGGGCAGGCAGTGAAGACCTTTCTTTAGTGAACTCCCCAATTTAAAGTACTGCCACTAAAACCCTGGCAGAAGGAGCTCACTGTTTCTTTACACAGATACCACCAAGTCCCACCTGATGACTGAGAGAGCAGAACTCCTTCAGACAGGCTGCTGGAACAGGCAGCCCAAAAGCCACTCCAGTGTGGTCACTAGACAGGAACCATCTCTAAGCACTTTGGTCACTGAGCACAGCTAAAACGAGGCATAACCCTAAGCAACAGTAAGTAAGTACAGACTGAAGTAGCTTCTTCCCCTTCCACTCCTGCAACCACTGCATTTTTTTGAGATGCAAATATACTGTATCAGGGCAATTCACC